AGCTAAATGGACAACAAATAAGGTGGATGGAGAAACTCAGTACCTACAACTTCAAGATGAATACTGCCCCGGAAAAGAAGTAGGAAAGCCAGACGCCTTGACGAGACAATCAGCGGACAAACCAAAAGATCCGGAAGATGAGAGAATCAAACAGAAACAACAAATACTGTTACTAAAAGAAAAATATTTCTAATCAGAAGAGGAAGACAGCGGATACGAGTCCCTGAATGAAATCAACACACGGACAACATTGGAAGAAGATATCAGCAGAGAAAGTTCGCAAGATGTGGAGATCCAGGCCATCAAGGAAAAACTGGTACAAGGAATCAAGGAAACCAAGGAAGTAGCCTTAGGATTGTGCTAATGGGAAGACGATTACCTGTAGTACGAAGGGAAAATCTGGATACCAAACAAGGAAGAATTAAGCACAGAAATCATATGACACCATCACGACTCTCCCTATGCCGGGCATGGGGGAACCGCCAAAACTACCGAATTCATCAACAGAAGATATTACTGGCCCAAGATAAGAGAAGATATCAAATGACATGTCAAGAATTGCGACACGTGCCAAAGAACTAAAGTGGTACGACATGCACCTTATGGATTACTCAAATCAACCAAGGCCCCAGAAAAACCATGGAAGGCTATATCATTAGACTTTATAACCGAACTACCCAAGTCAAACGATCATGATGCCAGACTAGTGGTAGTAGATTGTCTGACCAAAATGAGTCACTTCATCCCGTGCAAAACAGATATGACGGCCCGGCAGTTTGCAACCATATTCCTAAAAGAAATATGCCGCCTACACGGATTACCCAAAGATATTATTAGCGATAGGAGATCACTATTTACTTCTGAAGTATGGAAGGAATCAACGGAAAAATTAGGAATCGAACGACGAATGAGCACAACCTTCTACCCCCAGATGGATGGGCAAACGGAAAGAATTAACGGCATATTGGAACAATATCTCCGCGCATACGTCAACTACCAACAAGATGATTGGTACGACTAGCTACCACTAGCTAAGTTTGCCTACAACAACGGAAAACAAGAAACAATCAAGACAACTCCTTTCTTCGCAAATTATGGCACACATCCAGAATACGAAATCATAGGTCATATGCTCCAAGGAAAGATAACGGATAAAAAGGATATGAGTCAACTACATGACACATTACGAAACGAAATGATTACAGCACGTTTACGACAGAAAGAAGACTACGATCGCCACAGAAAACCCGATCCAAACCTAAGATCAGGAGAAATGGTTTGGTTACTACCACGCAACATCAGAACTACGCGACCAACAAAAAAACTGGATTACAAGAAAATAGGACGATTCAGGATATTGGTAAAAATAGGAAGTTGCGCTTATAAGCTTGACCTTCCGCCGTCAATGAAAATACACAACACCTTCCATATCAGCCTCCTTGAACCCTATCAAGACAATCCTCTACCATATCAAGAATAACTCCCACCACCACCTATCGAAATAGAAGGTGAATCGGAATATTAACTGGAAGAAATCGTCAACTCTCGATTACACTACCGTCGCTTGCAGTACAGAGCAAAGTGGACCGGATACTCGCCGGAACATGACAAGACTTGGTACCCAGCCGACAACTTCAATCATGCGCAAAATGCAGTCGACCAATTCTACTGAAAATACCCCCGGAAACCAACAACCGACAGTCGAAGACATACTCAATTCAGGGCATGTAACGTCCACGCTATACCGCACAGACTCCTACCATTGGACATATCCCAAGGAAAGAGGTGCGATAATGATGCCGTCAACCCTACAACACTTACCAGGACGCAACGCGTTCAAACACATCACACCAACGAGTCCGGGATACCGGACCCCCACTCCACAGCCAGCTCCAATCAAGGAGGAGCTGAGCAACGAAGATTGGACCAACCTGGTGGACCTCAACCTGAGGAAAACAACAACACCCGAAAGGGAACATGCGAACCTGTCATGGACAGGTTGCTACGACGACGAATGCCAAGTGCACCGGACAGACAAGGAAGGCTCAGGATACTAGCCTCGGGAGACGAACCGATGGCCACCCAAGACTTCACCTCTGGGATCACCAATGAGATCCCCCACACCAGAGCCAGTAGCTCTGGTCCAATACATACAACTGACTCTGAGGACAGAGTCAAGGAGGAGGGGGACGAAAAAACAGAAATGGGCAAAACCCAGGAAAATGAGGCATATATCCTAGGAGACAGAGATGGAAAAGGAGGAGACAGAGACGACAGTAATGAAATTGTTGGCGGAAGTTCAAGAGACGAAAAAGTTGCTAGAATGGCAGGTGGAGAAGATAGGACAGCTCCAGAGGGAGCTAAGGGAGGAAACGAGGATAAGGAAGGCACTCCAGAATGACTGGAGGAGAGAAGAGAAAGAGGCGGAAAGGGCCCTGACGAGAGTACGGAAAGTAAGCGCTTGGCTAAATAAGGAAACCAAGTAGGGACTAGCAGCGGACAGGGCATGGGGGTTGGAGGAAAGGTTGATATAAGCCCGATGGGACTGGGGCTGGGGGAGAGAAGAGCTAATGTTACAAACTGTGACTAAGCAAGGCAGATTTCACATAGCTCAGACTTCCGAGTTATAAGTATGTTGGCATTTCACATGATGTACATGAGTGCACCATAGGTTATTATATTTACCTGTTCGTGACTCACAGTTGTGAGTCACATGGTGTTATGATTTTCGCACATGACTCATACTTATGAGTCATGGGTTTCACTCAGGTAGTGCGAGTTGCGCACCTGACCTGGTTATTATGTTTTGATTGGTTAGGCATGTTGCGCAGTGACTCATAGGAGTCGTCTGATGGATTTCGCATGACTCACGGTTATGAGTCACAGGGTTTGCGTGACGCGAGGTATGAGTCACACCAGGTGAAGAGCTACTATATAAAAGGGTCACTAGGATCCCGAGTATGAGCTCTTCACACGTTCTTTTTGTTTATTTCCTACCTTTAAGTTATTATCAATAAAACCTACCTTTACGCTCTTTAAGATTTATCTTAAGAAACCCAAGAATTGTCTTTCCTCTCATGAGGAGAAATTAAGCCCTAAGCGAGGACTAAGAGAAGAATAAGGAGATAGGCGCGAACAAGATAGTAGTCATAGGACTGAACTATCGGGATCGTGTAGGTACAGGCCTTAGAACTATCACCTTCCGCTAAGAGAAGTATCGTCACCTGTCGCTAGGTCCTACTCGGTAGGATTCTTAACAATTAACTGGATGTTCTTCATTGTCAAGGCCCCCCTTTTCTGCCCAGTATTTGACTTTTGTGCTGTGAGCTCTATCCTCTAGCCTCCAATTACCAACTTCAAGGTGTTTGAATAGAATATCCTTGATTGAGAGTTTGGAATTATAACAGCCATCAATAAGTAGTAATAGACTAACTTTGTGAAAAGAAGTAACAATACTGTCTTTTCAGGTAGTACAAAATGTATGCCCTACTTCTGCTAAACACCTTTGAATCAAAACCCTTTACTCTTCCACTGCACTTACTTTCTCACTTTCATGCAAATCTTCTCCTGTTCTTTGGCACTTGGATTTTGTTAGAGTTTGTATTGTTTCATTCGTTTGGCTGTTTGGCTGGGGCTTGGGGAGGCTGGCTGGGGGTGGGCTACCCCATTTACATTTACTTTGTTTGGCTAGATGTGTTGTGTCAGGGGCCTGGTTTGGGTCCCGAAGTATGTTTGTATTTAGTGGTGCCCACTCTTAGAGTTGTTTGAGTTGGTTGCTACAGACGGTACTTATGGGGGTAGTCACTGGACATGGGAGACTGGCTTTGTACCACCCTACACATACTGCCCTCTCCGGTACTGGAATGCTTGCTTAGGCTGCTGGTGGGTTTCAAGGGTTGGATTTCTTTTGTTTATCTGATGGGACGGGGGTCAACAAACAGACCAAATAAAACCACCTTTCGCTGAGACGATTTTAGTGTATTGTTTGCTGAACCCCCCTGTTCGTTGAGCCCCCGTCCATTTTACCTGGCAGCCTCAAGAGCGGATCTCTTGGGCTCCCAAGGACCTCTTTTCTCTCCATCCTGGGTTCGGGGGCGCTGCGGCGTTGGGGACGGCAGTTGCCGATTCCCTGAAGCCATCCAGACTCATGCTAGATATCAGCCCAGGTGGGCCGGCTGGAGAAATACAGTCGCACCCCGTTGTCCCGGGTGGCCAAAATCCTAAGAATCCGTCCAGGACAGCGAGTTATCCAGGATAACAGGTTCGGTTTTGGTGTAAAGAAATTTCTAATTCATAGAAATTCATCCGGGACAGAGAACAATCCCGGAGAGCGAGGTCCGGGCCAACGGGGTGCGACTGTATTGATTTGCTTCGGGCGCCGAACCGCCCCCTTCTGCAACCAGGGCTCCCATTGGATGTCGCGCACGTAGGGTGGCTAAGGGTGCCTGGTGTCTAGGAGGAAACGCGGAGGGGTGAAATGGTGCCCCCTGCTATTTCTACGCCCGGAAGAGACCAGCCAACACCGCGGGGCGCCAGCCCCAATGCCGTAGAATACCGCCGGTTTTGTGCGATAAAGGGTCATGGCTATTATCACACGTACTCGAGAATAGGTGCTACACGGTGGTATATATGATATCATGCCTTCGCTGTTTCTGCTCTACTGGCGAACACATGGTGGTCTCGTCTGCGTGAACTACGGATAAACAATGCGTTTGTCGGAGAAACAATTTTCCGGCGGGATGCCAAGCATAATAGCCCACCACAAGGGGTCCGGAAACGAAAAAAAAGAATTGGAAAGGAAGAAAAATCTCTGCTCCTCCATCTGTTTGCCGGCAACCTCATCTAACGCTGGAGGAAAATTTCCTCCCCTCCTGCCTTAACCCTCCCCACTCCCCTTTAAAATAAGGAATAAATTGTTATTCCTTCCCTTTTATTTCTTCCTCCTTCCTTCCACCTTTCTGAATAGAAGGGTCAATTACCTCTCCCCCCTCACCTCGATAATGTTTTCTTCCACTCTCCGTCGCCATTGCCCCTCAATTGCACGCATTACTTTCTCCTCAATCCGCCCTCTTACTTCATACACTCCTACACGCACGGTTGTACGCAATTCGTTGAAAAATCCTCCCTCTGCTTCCTTTTCACGGCATAGATTCTTCTCCGTCTCGCCGTTTTTGAAAAATGATACCGAGGCGGAGCCGGAATTGGCGGAAGAATCGACACCAGATTCTGATCCTCCTGCGGGGGAATATGTTCATCACACGGGCGATCCCGAAGTAACTCATCATTATGGAGAGGATGAACCAATAACTCGTTTTCAGCAGCTGGCTGATAGAGGCTTGGTTGATCCGGTCATTATCGAGAAGATAGTGAAGGACAAGGGATACGAGGAAATGACCAAGGTCCAGAGGAAGACTATTCTGGAGACTTTGGGAGGAGAAGATGTGTATGTTCTGCTCTCGATATTTTGCATCGGGGTTTTTTTTGCTAACAAGCTATTGGGTGACAGGTTCGGTCAAGCCAAGACCGGTACGGGAAAGACTATTGCCTTCCTTTTGCCCGCCATACAGCGCATACGAGCCTCCACCATCCCTTGTAAGCCTCGTACCAAGATCAGCCCTGGGCATCGGCAAGAGGAAGGAAAAACGAACGCGGATGTTCGTGTGATAATTATATCTCCTACCCGTGAGTTGGCACAGCAAATTGAGGTCGACGCCCGATTCCTTACTAGAGGCACTGGAATCATTACCCAGCTTGCCGTTGGCGGTTCTCGGAAGAGAGAGAGCCTCATAGATATTAGATGCCGCGGGTGCAATATTTTGGTTGCTACTCCCGGCAGATTGCATGATATTCTATCCGATCCGACGGCCGAAATCAGCACCGAAAATCTCGAGATGCTAGTATTGGACGAGGCGGACCACCTGCTTGATCAAGGGTTCGCCGAAGCAATCGACGATATTGTCAAACTCCTTCCCCACAGAGACAAGCCTGTTGGGGATACTGGAATGCCTAGACAAACGCTCTTATTCTCTGCCACCATCCCAGACAGGGTCCAGGAGATGGTGAAAAAAACCATGCGCCGCGAGCACAAATTCTTGCAGATGGTTGAGAAGGGTGAGGCAGCGACACACGAGAAAGTCCCACAACACCTTGTTAGATGCAGGGGACTTGAGAACCAGTTGCCAGCACTTGTCGAGCTTCTAAAACGCGAAATCCAGGCTGTCGACGACTCGAAAGGAACTGAAAACCTCCTTCAACCCTTCAAGGCTATCGTCTTCCTCCCTGCTGTTCGTCCGGTGAAGCTCTTGACTGCGGCCCTTAGAAACATTAGGCTGGGGGGGGGTGAAGGGCCAGGTGTGGGCCCGTTCTACCCGGCCAAAATATTTGAGATTCACTCCCAACTCACTCAAGCCGGACGGACAAGAACTGCCGAGAACTTCCGCAAAGCTGAATCCGGAATTCTGCTTTCGTCTGACGTTACAGCACGCGGGATGGATTTCCCCGGCGTAACACACGTGATCCAGATGGGCGCCCCCAAAAGTGAGGAAACCTATATTCATAGGATCGGACGCACAGCTCGTGGGGATAGGTCTGGCGTAGGCTATCTATTCCTCTCAGAGATGGAGTTCGCAGATACTAGGAGGGAACTTCGGAAGCTTCCGTTGGAACTCAACGATTCACTTGTTACCGCTGGGATCGACTTGGCGGTAGAGCAAGAACTCCCGAAACATGCATCCGAGATCTTGACTGCTGTTGCGGAAGCCAACCAGGGAATTGATCCATCCGAGATGAGGAGTACCTACACATCACTCATTGGCTGCTATGGCGGTATCCAAAAATCTCTTTTGGCCGAATCTCTAAATCGCCTCGCCACCCTTGGATGGGGGCTGCCGGAGCCTCCGGCGGTATCTAGGGTACTTGCATCGAGGCTAGGCATCAGTCCCAATCACGGATTCAACATCTCAGCCCCAACCCGTGATGGGGCTGGCGATGAGGGGTTTGACGGGCCTGATCGTGGCGGACGAGGCGGAAGAGGTGGAAGAGGTGGAAGAGGTGGAAGAGGCGGTTTCGGCGGGAGGGGGGGACGGGGCGGGAGGGGCGGGTTCAGCGATCGCCCGTCTTACCGCTCCAGTGGTGGCGATGAAGATGGCTATGGGCGCGGGTCATTCAGACCGAGAGACGATAACAACGGGACTAGCTATGAACGTAGGCCCTACCGATCCCAAGGCAATGGGGACGACGAGGGCGACACCAGCTATGAACGCAAGCCATTCAGACCAAGAGACGGGAATGACGGGGGTGGCTATGAACGCAAGCCCTTCCGTCCTAGAGATGATTCATCTGGCGGCTACGAGCGTAAGCCCTTCCGTCCCAGGAACGGTGACGATGGCGAGGGTGGTAGTGGTGACTATGAGCGCAAGCCCTACCGTTCTAGAAACAATGGCGATGATGATGAGGGCGGTAGTGGTGACTACGGGCGCAAACCCTTCACATCCGGAGGTTTCCGCGGCCGGGGACGTGGTCGTGGCGGCTATGACGGTCGGTCTAGTCGAAGCTCGGGCAGCGAGCGCGGTCGAGGCGGGTACCAGCGCGCGCACGGTGGCGGATCTGGTAACTGGGAGCGCGGGAACCGTGGACGTAGCAGCGGCGGGAGAGGGCGGTATTGAGCTTGTAATATAGGTGCAGCCCCGTTGTGACAGGATTACCAGGGCCGAGGGATGTGTTTCTCATCTATCTTATGATTAATGGTGATCGACTATCTTTCTGTTTGCTTGTTTGGGTTCTTAACTATCTATCTGTTGTTGTGGGGAAAAAGTTTTTTTTGTCTACTTCCTGTTCTTCTAGGTATTCTTCCTTCCTCATTTTCCTGGCATTCTTTGCACTCTTTTTCTCCCTTGTCTGCGCCGGGCCTTCACGGGGCTTACTATACGGAGCGGAACTCTACTCATGTCGTTGTATCATAGAAATGGGGTATGGGGGGGTGTGAGCTGGGATGGGTGGAAATGTATTTGTTAGGTGTTTTTCCTTCCCCTTGGCTGACGGGAGGCCGGGGGTGTGGCATTTATGTTTATCTGTCTACGCTTCCCTTTTTCTCTTATTTTTTTCCTTTTTCCCTCCCGTTTCTCTTTATTTGAAATTGAAGTGGGATGGATTTTTTTTGCGGTACGATGTGTGTGCTCGTTGCGATTGATTGTGCTGTAGATGGGGCGGCAAATGTTGTGACAATGCAGTCATTGTGTATCACTCGGGTAAATTTCGGCCTCGGGGGTTAATGCTGGTATCATAGTATTAATGGTATTATGATGTTAGAATTCACACACAACGTCAAAAAGAGCACAAGCACTTACATTCTTCCTTCTCTTTAAACTAGGTATGAAGAAGTTTTACCACATCCAAACTCCAGGACCCTCCAGATAGACAGCCACATCCCGCAGCATAGCATGGTATCAAGGGCGCAGCCTGATTCATAATCCGTGCCGGTAGGGTATCCAAGGTTCAGCCTCCCTCCAGTGACGAGTACACACTGGGCATTGCATTGGGTTACTTAATTATATTAGCCAATAACATTTCCATCGCTCTGTAAGTATGCTGGTAGCTGAGTGCACCAAGCTGGCCAGAGGCAAGGTGCGCAGATCCTACAGATATAAATACAGTCACTAGACAAAAGTCTTGATGATGGCTTAGTCAGCAATGACACAAGAAAATAAAGCACTATTACATCCAAACCTTTTTACTTTATACTACTCTTCAATCAACTTCAACCATAATAATTTTTCCTGAAAAAGCTAGGATGCCAATCCAAGAATGATCAGATGCTGTGAAATTGATTATCATTGGTCTTTTACATATCTTATAAATTATTTCTACTAATAACAAGCTTGGTAGGTTTAAGGTTCCCTTTATTTGCTATCCTATTTCTATGGTTCATAATTATTGATAATTCTATATTTTCTTATATAGCTATTCAAGTATAAATGTACTAGCATAAATCTTATATCTTGAGTTTGTTGTACTAGTAGAATGGAGGCTCCCCTAATAAGATAGATCCTAGAAATACAACTGCAGCAAGCTTTAAAATTTGCACACCTAGCTCTTACAGATATAAAAGAATAAAGTGAATGGTAAAACTTAATATTACTAAGCTGAAGATTTATTCAATTAAGGTCTTGAGAGAGTGATGATCATATTAGGATAGGTGAGCTCTGATAATTTTTAAGTAGTTAGACTTATTATGCTAGGGGCTCACCAACCAGGTTACTCTAACTAATAGGAGTATGTTCTTCTATACTATGAGTTCCCTGATACCTTTACCATATCTATAAAGGGTCTTAGTAGGTATAAGTACACTCTAGCTGCTGGCTTCTATATTGTTATACATGGAATCATAATTAGTATAGCATAAAACTAGATATATCCATATAAGATCTCATGTTCAACTCTGGACCCTGCCACAGTTATTGTAACAATAAAATATAATTATATAAAACAATAAGGCATTTATGCAGCCTTTTCTAAGAACATAAAGAGTATGTGACTAAGGGGATTTTACTGGGTAATATAGAAGAAGCTGTACTTTATAAGATAAGACTTAGTTGGTTAGAATTGGTCAGTTAGTTATAATGGTACTAGGACCTTGACAAGTTTACATGGCATTAGACTTCATTGTAGGGCCATATTTTGAACAGAAAGTGACAAAATCTAGGTTAATCTGTATCACGGTTTTTAGTTAATAATAAGCAAAGGCTGAGTTAGTTGAGCTCTGGTTTGACATATATATTAGCACTTGATGTAGTTCTATTTGTTTGGAAAAGATACTAAGGTACTTATTTTTATATATTTTTCTTTTCTCTTTTTCTTTTCTCTTTAGTTTGTATCTTTGTATTCTTGCAACCTAAAGATATCTCCTCTGCAGTTCTCCTCCTCATTCTCTAATATTACTGTTTCCTATCACCTTATCTCCTATCCTGTTGTTGGATCCTGGTCATGGTCCATGCCTACTCTCCTAGTTTCTACTAGTTAGTCTCATTTTGGTTCAACTCTACATTCCATCTCTGATAGTGTACTTGTTCCTCCTCTCAACCATCAATACTCTTTAGCTACCTCCAGCTCTATCCTCCCCATTACAATCTGATTAACTGGGTCTAAAGATCTGTCACAAACTGTGACTAAGCAAGGAAGATTTTACATAGTTTAGGATTCTGAGCTATAGATATGTTAGAATTTTACATGATGCACACTAGTACATCATAGGTTATTATGATTATCTGTTTGTGACTCACAGTTGTGGGTCACTATTATATACATGAATGTAAAGACCTCCTATGTACACAGACCTCCTAAAAACCATGAAAATTCCATGGCCAACACCCCGCTCTGGCCCCACCGTTGGAACTGTACCAGTATAAGTGTCACCAGAATTTGGTATACCAACAGTTTAAATTAGTTGAAACGAAGCATGCTTCATAACACCATATACATCGTCATCATCTATCTGACCAGAAGCTATTCGCAGGCCATATATGAGGGGGCCTGAGACTATGACTGAAAAGTAGAATGGAGTCAATCGGATGGATAACCATAGAGCTACAGGCTAAGTGAGATCGACCATCTTAGACATAGACAGAAAGTGTTGGGACGAAATCACCAACAGTCTAATGAGTTATTGGGATGTACCTGTATGGATGAGGCACAGGGCCCAGCCTAGTGCTCGCACAATATAGAGCCAACGGGAGGCCTATCTGTAAGTGAGGGACATTCTCATGATACTGACTAGTCCGATCATAGTGAAAAGTCCTCAAAGTTAATACAGTTAGGTTGTAAAGTCAACGACGCATTGATAAGTCTCTCAACGGAGCTGATCACTCCAGTCAGAGTAAGGAGGATGGTGAGTTGGATCAAAGCGAGACCACTCACTCCTACTTAAACCTCCAAGATAAAGTAATCATGCGTTTTCGTCCAAGAGATTTCAAACACCCTTGCGGAAACAGGACAACGTATGGAGACCATAGTCCAAGCAAGACGTGAAGTTTGTCAGGGTCAAACAGATCCCCATTCCCATAAGTAAGGGGTAGGAAATAGAGAAGGTATATTGTTTGGTAATAGATAGATGTAGTCTGTGACCACCTAGACACAGAATATAAATATTGAGGTGCTTCCTTAGCTTTCAGAG